TTGTAAGTAGTTAGGGAAACTAGCATGACCTGGAAGTCCAGTCGTATGACTTCTTAGTCATGCTGGGAGATTTTTTCTAACTGGGAAGGGGTGGATTTTTATTTGTAATTAAACAGACTTTGCCTGAACTGAAAATCAGCAGGAGGGGGAGACACACCCGTGCATGACTCCCTGACAAACCTTCCCCCGCAATCGCAAGAGGAGAATTAGTTAGGAAACTTCTGATCTCATCAGCGTGGAGGTTGAGTCAAGAGAAATTTTAAAGTATTGAAGTATGGAAGTCATTGTCATGATCAAAAAGTCAGTAGCTCATGCCAGCAAGGACAAGAGAGAACAATCCAAATGTACATTTTGTTTAAAGCTCACGAATGCTCGTTTTCTCTCAGAGTACCTTTACTCTTCCCTCGTGTTCTCTGCGGCATCACCCAGGCCTAGCAGGGTACTAGGTACAAGTTACTTAATAAATATTTGCTCAGTGAATAAACCATTGTGCAAACCTCTCAAATCTATCTGCATTCTGCACCCCAAATTCACTTTCTCCACTGCTCGTAGTGGATTATAGTAATATATGCGAATATTTTAAGTGTAATGTTTTCTCTATTGAACAAGTATCTTTCATTTCCCCATGTATATAGCCTTAGGCTTCTTCAAAATTAATTTTATTTTTATTAAGGTAATACATCTCAGGGTTTAAAACAAAATAAAATGCTATTAAAGTTCTTGTAAAGTAACATCTCCTCCTAAGGCCTGGTCTTAATTCCCAAAGGCAAACATTGGACTCTTTTAGTGGGCTTTTTTTTTTTTTTTCACTGTACCTATTTCTAAGTGATTTGATTATCCTGCTATTCCTTTATATAGCAATTTTACACATTGTTTATTTGCTTTATGGTATAACAGTTGAGGATTTAGTTGCCTTACACACACTTAAACTGTCTTCCCTCTCTCACCCTCCACATAAAGTTTTATTGTAATTTATGGTTGATTCTCTTGTCAGTGTTACCATCACTGTGATTATATACACATCCGAATGAAGTTGTATACTATCATTGTGTTTCTTTTATCTCACAACTTTCTGTTTTTCCTGGAGTTAATAATATCCTTTTACAATTTGTTTAGCACACTGTACCTATTGTACATTATTCACAATTGCCTCCAACTGATCTTTCAGACTGTAACAGAATAATATAAATGTAATAATAACCCTAAAAACCTCAGTGGCTTTACACAAGTTTATTTCTTGCTCGTTGTCACAATCCAGCATGTAGCAGCTGGGGTTTCTGTGCCACACATCATTCAAGGTCACAGATTTTTATTTCATCTAGAGGATTTCATGTCTTCCAGGGCTTCAGAGCTCTTCATTGATTCTTTGCATCTGGATACTAACAAGAAAAGAGGGGGACCATGGAAGATCTCATGAGTCATTTTATGGGTATGTCCTGGAAATAATGTAGATCACTTCTGTCCACATTCCATGGGCAAGAACTCAGTTCCATGCCTCCCCACCTACAAGGGGCTAAGAAATGAAATCTAGTGGGGTGCTCAGGATAAAGAGAAGACCATGAAATCTGGTGAGCACCGCCAGTCTCCACTATATAAACTTTATCGATAATTTTCAAGTGTACATGTGCATTAAATAATATAGCATTTTCTTTTCCTTTTTTTTTTTTTTTTGGAGACATACCTACTGTAAGCCATCTTTTTGCTTCTCTTTAGGCCTGCTTCACAATGGTTGTTCTAGAGAATTCCTTTTACCATCTCCTATCGTGGGCCTGAATTTTAGGGGTTTCATCTCTTTCTCTTTCATGAATTATAAGCTTATTTGGGGAATATTTCCTTAAAAAAAGATACACAGGAAGTATATTTTTTTGAGTTCCTGCATGCCTGAAAATGGCCTTGGTTGACAGTTTGTCTGGGTATACAATTCTCAGTTCAAAATAATTTCATTTTTAAAATGGGTAGGCATTCAAAGTAACTTCTCGATCCATATTGCTCTTGAGAAAGCCAATGAAGTCTTTATTCTTTCCCTTTGTATGTGATCTGCATTATGTTACTGGAAGATGGTTTAGGTTCTTCTCTTTTTTTCCTGGGTTTCTAGTATCTAAATTATGTACCTTGTTGCATTTAATTAATTGATAATTAAAAAATTTCATTCTCCTGGGTCTTTTAAGGAAATCTTTGATCTCCAAAGTTCATGATCTTCATTTCTGGAATTGTTTTGCATTTTTAAAGTTAATTTTTCCATCCTTTCCTGCACAGAATGATCCCTTTTCTGGAACTTTCTGGGATTTCCATTAGTCATAAATTCTTTTCTCCATTTTCTTTTTTATATCTACAGGTTTTTGTTCTGCTTTCCTGAAGATTTTGTCCAACTTAATCTTCTACCCCATCTGTCAATTTTTTAAAAATTCTGAGTATATTTTTAATTTCAAGAGATTTTTCCTGTCTTATATATAAATTTCTTTGTTATTCATTTTCTTTAGTAGCAGAGTACAAAGGCATGGGTTCAGTTCATCTTGTTGAACCACAAATTACTCTGGTTTATTTTCTCCAGAAAATAAACTTTCAATCTCCTGGAAGTTGGATTGAGCAGATGGAAAAACTTATGGTTGATTGATTGCATGGCAGTGGGGAAGGGAACTTTGGGTGCAAGCATTCTGTGTGCAGACGTCTAACCAAACCCCTGTTTACCCTACCACCTGGCCTCCATGAAGCTGGTATTTCTGCCTTCTAGGCCTAAGTCTTCCCAGGTTTTGCAGGAAGAATTGGCTTGCATCTTTTCAATCATCCCTCCTGCAGACATCAGCCTCCATCTGATTTAAGTTCTTCTAAAAAATCACTGTAATGTATTTTATCTGCCGATACCTCCTCTCACTTTTATTTGTCTTTATGGTTTAATAATATTTTAAAAATTCAGTCATTCTTGTGATAAAGGAATTTGAGGAAAGGGTTATGAAATACCTGTGATTGATTTGCTACCTATAACTAGATGTCTCCCCATGTATATTTATATATGTTTACCTCAGTGCTGTATTTATTGAATTAGACAGAAGTTATATCTATTTAATTTGTGCTGCATAAACTCCAGGTACAGGAAGATTTGATGATGATAATGATGACATATGATGTTGTTTTCACTGGTTTTCACTGGGTCTTTTATTCTGCTCTACTTGTGTCACAGCAGCCTTCATGAAGTGGTCAAGAAATATTTCTCTTATGTCCCCCACTCTTCCTCCTCCTTGGAATCCCTCTTTCCGCAGGGAGGGAAATGCTCTACCACTCTCTAGCAATGTCTCTATATAACTCTAATGGCTCTGAGCCTGGGAACCTGAAAGATAGGACTGTATGTAGCAAGTCACTCCAGGAGAGCTGTCCCTGCAGGATTTGACCCTATAAGGCAGATGACACACTTAATCTGGGGAAGGGTGACAAGGAGAGCCTATGATAAATGTATGTGTTAGATTTTCTCATAGCAAGAAATTTTTCTAGAAATAGTAGGGTGGTAGCACAAAATAGTAACCACTATGAACTCAGCATTCAGGATTAGGAGACCTGAATTCTACCTTTGCTGACCTTTTGATTCTGGGCAAATGATTGGAATTTTCTCAACCTCAATTTCATCACTCTAAAAATGGAGACAATGAATATAATAGATGCCTATTTCAAAACAATGTTGTGAAATTCAAATTAGATGATCTATAGTCAAGGGATTTACAAATTCTATTGCATACAGGAAATAATGGCTATTAGGATTAATTTGATTAGTGAACACATTAACTAGGTAAAGAGTATGGATCTTTGCATAGCACAGAGAATCATTTTAAATCGATATGTTAATAGTGGAAAAAATTCAAGGTTGTTGTTTTCTTTCTTTTATCTCTCTCCAGGCCCATGGACACACACTCGTTGTATACTTAGATATTGCTGTTGGATGCCAAGTAGATTTATAATAGACATAGGTTTTCAGCATACATATTTTGAAAATCTATATTATGAACCTCATATACTTTCTCCTAGTAGATTTGAGATATTTTTTCTGAATTGTACCTTATTTCGTGAGAATGGGGTAGATTAAGTGCCACCAAAATAACAAGTATAGCCAACACATGCATAGCACTTACTGTGCCAGGCACTGCTCTATACACTTTAATTATATCAACTCAGTTACTCACAATAACACTATGAGGCCATTATTATTATCCTCATTTTCAATATAAGAACATCGAGGCACATAAAGTAGAACTTCTTTCACAGTTTCCTAATAGAAAAGATTTTTGTGAAACAAAATGTTTTCTCTAGTGCTCCTCTTCGCCACTACTCTGCTGTCATTTGTGCGTTTGGGGCTGTTCCTTTGCCCTCTTCCACAAGACGTTCTCTGGGAGATGCTCCCTAGCTGATCATGGCAGTGCCTCCCAAATTAGGTCTCTAAGGCCCCCTGTTGGAACTGACTTACACAATTAAAATTTCAGCGATCATCCTCATCTCATTGTTTTCTAACATGAATGCAAGCAGCAGGTTTGGAACTCCTTAATTTTCTTCCCAGAGGAATAAGTCAATTGCTTTGATATGTATTCAACCTCGTGTTTTTACCTTTACCATGAAATCGAGGATGTCAGAGTATGCCTCAAATGTAATCCCAAGAGGGGCAGCCAGGGTCTTTGCTTTGTGGGTGAATCTGAAGTGTTTAGAACAGGGTCTGCCACACAGTAGACACTTAATAAATATTTGTTTAGTGACACTGTATGCTCACTATTTTGTTTAACAGCAACCTATTGATGTCCAAAGTGATTTTAGGAAGCAAGAATCAGGATGGTGCATAGTGATGAATGCATTCATATGAGCCCATTCTAACTTCTAAAATACTGATTTCTTTCCAACTCCCACTTTTACCTGCCAAAGCCTTCCCCCGCTCTCCACCTGCAATCGTGGGCTCTGCCCACAGTTAATGAGACTCTCCCTGTGAGGAGAGAATGCAATACCCTGGAAACAGTCCTTCTCCCGGTGCCCTGAGCTCTTCGAGTAAGCGATATCAAAGAAAACACAGAAAAATAAATGAATGAAAATGAGCTCCCCGCGGGGTTTGAAGCCCCACAGCGTGGAGAACTGAACCAGGAGCCCCGTGTGTTTCTGAGTGCAGCGGCTGAGTCACCAGCAAGATTTGCCTGAGGTGAGCTCCGCACATCCGCGTTCAGACTCGCGGACACGCCTTCTTCTCACACAGACCTTCCAGATCCGAGTCACTGCGGACTCCAGGGGGTGGTGCTACCAGCCCCGCCACTTGCAGCCCTGACGGCCGGGGACTGGGGACCGATCCGGAGCCACAGGTTGGAAAAATAAGGAGCCGTCCCCATGCCTGTCGCCCTGTGAGGCAGATCCCGGGTGGCTGTTCCTGGGCTTGGGCAGGGGAAGGAAAGCTCCGTGAAATCCGACACCCGGCCCTCTCGGCTAGGAAACTTCGCAGGCTGGTGAGTTGGGGGAGGCGGGCTGCTGTCGCGGGAATGTGCTGCCACCCTCCCGGGTACTGTGCGGGCCGGTGAGCGTGGCAGGCCTGGAGTCTGTGCCTTCGGCCGGGCGGGTGCGCGCGCGCGCGCTGTCCACAACAAAAACCCGCACACAGAGCACAACAGGGGTGTGCGCACACAGATCACAACACACAGCGACACCGCGCTCTCGCGGTTGGGGTGCGCGCTTCGAAAACAGCGGCGCGACAAAAAAAAAAAACTGAGCACGGAGATGCCAGTTTCCTTCCATGTGTGTCTCAGAAAACAACCGCAATAATGATGAATTAGAACAAGAATGATGATATGTTTCGAGTTTCGTTTAGGAAGAAGTGACTTAGTGAAGCAAGCCAGGCAAGTGAAAGAACATTTCTTTGCATTTCCTCAGGTGAAACAGTCACGGAGAAATCAAGAGTAATTTCCGTTTTCCAATTGTTTGCTCTGTTGCTTCCGAATTCTGATCTAAGTGTCGCACCTACTCTGTTGTGTGTCTGTCTTGGTTCAAGTGGTCACAGTAAATTAGCTTCCAAGACTGTCCCACCCAGTGCAACATTATCTAAAGAAGCCTCTGCAAACTACTGAAGCAGGTGGACTGTGAGCAGAGACTGTGTTCCTTGGGAAAAGCTATGTTTGATTCAAGTTGTCACACCGGTAACATGTTTACCTGCTTTTTAGGTCAAGATCTGAAACTAAGGGTATGAGATTCTCTAGTTGTTTAAATGGTACATCATTAGATTTAGCCCATATTTATAACAGGGTTATCACCAACAAAATTATTATTTAATGTAATATAGCTATTAATTTTGATTTAGTTCTGTTTAAAAGTAAGATGTCTACAGTTCTCCACATTAAGCTATTTTACATGTATTCAGTAATATTATATGTATAGACTATATAGGGTTTCATAGTTATAAATTTTGAAAAGTTGACAGAAAGGATGGACTTCAGCATCATTATAAATTGAGGTGTTTACGTTTATTGAATTTTCGAGCAGCTACAAATTTCAAATTGTGGCTATGAAGTGACAGTCATACTTGTCATATGCCATCCTCCCCACTACCAGATAGTTATTTTTCATAGTTTCCTAGCAAAATCCTCTACCCAGATGGCATCAGCCATCCTTGAAGGCAAGAGGGGATTCCTATGGATGACCAAAAAAAAGGTCATCTTGACAAACAGTTTAATATCAGTGGGCTTTTCTGCTTAAGAACTGACTGTGAACTCCCATTTTACCATCATTACTTTCGAAAGGAAAACAAAACATTTCGGATGAAACTGAATGGGCCTGTTCTCACAGCTGCCAAGAAGGAATAAAGAGAATCTGTCAAATGTGAGCGAACCACAGCACTGCTTTCTCGTAGGTCATTTCTGAAACAGGCATGTTTGACCTGACAGGGAAGGAAGGTAACCCTAATATCATAGATCTTCTCAGCTCCTTGCTACACCAGCTTATACTACAACGACAAGCTGGTTTCAGAATTGCTGTTCATTTGTTTCACTGTTCTTCTAGAAAGTGGGAGTCATCCAAAGTCCCAGGTGGTTCAAAACAGAAATCTGCTCTTTTCCCGCCCTCACTCCTGGAATTTTTTGGTAAGATTTTTGGGGCTCTTGGATCAGTAGAGCATGAAATATAGACCAACTATTCACGTAAAGCTCGTCTCACAATTAATCCAGTTTCTGGAGTTGATTCATCAAGGCAGGTTAACCAATAGTTCAGCTCTTAAGCAAGTCATTATAATGTTGAGATGCAGGAAAATGATTACAGTGAAAACAGACAGGACAAACCAGGTATTTCCCCTGAAAAGTATGCCAGTTTCGAATTATAGCTGCCAAGGGGGAATGAGTTTTTCATTCATGACTAGGTATACATGGGGCTTAAGTTTATTCTATAGTAAGGAAGCAGCAACAACCCTAAACATAATAACAAACTTATTATAAACCCCATATATGGAGTTGAGAGCATTGCTTAATTTGTTTCACACCCTTTGCAATCATTATTCATGCTCTCCAAATATTAACCTTCTCTCATTGGCCCTCCTTAAATAAGGGAAACTTATCTAGATTACCAATAATGAGAGAAACACTGTTTAACAAATGGCCAAAAAAATCTTCAATAAGTTCAGTCTTTTTAACTAAACAACTGCTTACTGTATTGAGAAACATAATATATAAAGTTGCTTGCTCATTTATTCAACAAATATTTGTTAATAGTGTCAAGCACTATGCTGGGCTCTATGTGGACAGAAGTGGACAAAACACAAAAATTCCTGACCCTACAGAGGCTGTCCCTCCTGGGGAGGTAAAGAGTAAACCAAACGAGTAAGCTAAATCCATGGCACATTAGAGTAAGTGCTCAGGAGACAATATAAGCAGAGAAGACATGCAGAGAGTGGCAGTGGCATGGGGACAGTGAGCGTTGAAATTTTAGACCAGGCGCCCAGGGAAAGCCTCCCTGAGATGATGTTTCATATTGATCTGAAGCAAGTAAGAGAGGGACCCATGTGGATACGAGGAGGAAGAGCATTCCGGACTGAAGGGGACAGCAAGCAAGAGTTTGCCTGGCATCTTCCAGGGACAGCGGAGAAGCTGGTGCACCTGGTACGAAGAGAGTGAGGGGGAGGTCAGGAAGAACTGGGGGAGGGGCAATAATGGGGCCACACATGGAGAGCTTTGAAGGTCCTAATAAATATGTAGGCTTTGGTTTTTCTTCTGAGTAAAATGAGAAAGCACTGTGATTTAGATATAGCCTGTTGGACATTTCTCAGCAAATACTTAGTGTACTAAGAACTTTAATATTCTTCTAAGTGCTGTGGGTAACAGAGGTTAGTAAAACATACAAGGTCTCCACTATCATGGAAATTACATTCTAGTGTGGAAGGTAGCCACATAACTGAATAAGCAGATTAGTGATTCTGCAAGTTTTAGTGTTATTAAGAAAAAAAATGTTAAAGGGGAAAATAATGGGAGTGGCCTGGAGGGGAACTCTGTATGACTCAGTGGTCAGGAAAAGCCTCAGAGGAGGCAATCTTTTGAAAAGATCACTCTGGCTTCCTTGAAGAGAATGGGTCGTAGGGTAACCAGAGTAGAGGTGATTCCAGTAGACCAGCAATGACAGTGGCATAGATTGGAACTGGAAGAGTGGCCCTGGAGAGAAGTAGGGAATATTTGAAGGCAGAGCCGACAGAACTTGCTAATGAATCGGGTGAAGTGTAGGGATGAAGGAAAGGGTCATCAGGACTCGTGCCGAAGACACTGGACAGATGGCAAAGCCATTTCCTAAGATGGATAAAGCTAGGGGAGAAAGAGGTTTGCAAGGAAAATGAAGAGTTCATTTCCAGCCTTTTGTGGGACTTTTAGGTATCCAAGCGGAAATATCAAATTGAGCTTTGACATATACTAATCTTATACAGAGCACTTAGAGAAAGTCATAGCTGAATGTAGGAATTTGCAAATCAAGTGCCTATGGATGCTATTTAGAGCCATGGTCTTGAGGACATCACCTGGAGAAAGATTAGGGAGAGAAAAAATAGAGGCCTAAGGATTAAGCTGTGGCTTATTCTAACATTCAGGGATCTTGCAGAGTAGAAGTCAGTAAAAAGCCAGTCAAGTGAGAGGTAAACCTAAGCCAGGAAGTTTTTCAAGAAGAAGGGAATGGTCAGTGGTGTCAGACGTTGCTAAGATAAACAGTGCAATGAGGGAAGTGATTGCATGTGGCCATATGGCGCATTGGCAACTTGAGTAGGAGATGAAGTTCTCAAAATAAGATATTCAGAAAAACTAACTTGTAAAAATTCTGAAAATAGTGTTTCACCTAATCCCCAAGACAAATTGAAAAGAGAGAAGCCACTAGAAAAACTCACAAAGCTTCACAGAGGTTCTTATAAAATCAATTTTTAAAAAGTGGCTTATAGAACAGATGAACAGAGCAACATACAATTAGAAATACTTACAAAGGTGTTGTCTGAGCTGTAAGCATAGTTTAAGGAAGAGTTAAACCCAGAGTGAACTGAAGCTTGTAGGAAAAGGCTCAGGAAAGCTAAAGATTCTTTTCACATTGTTTGGAACAAAGCAGTGAATAAGGAAGGGTCATCCCCCTTCATGTTAGTGGATGTGAGTGAAAGTAGAATTAATCAATTTCTGCTTTGCTTCCGTCTTCTTTCTATATAAAAGAAAATAGTGTTCACAATGGAAGGATTAGACCACACTTGAAGAAAATTAAAATCAAAGAAAATTGAACAGTTATTGTGGCTGCAAATAACTTCTTTAGATGGGAAAGAATCATGGTGGAAGCTGTCAAGAGGACCTCTGTGAGGAAGTAGCATTTCAGTTGGGACCTAAACACTGTCTGTTCGCCAGGCAGGTAAATATTTGGGAAAAAAACAAGCCAGACAGAGCAAAGGCATCTGCTGAGTTCCTAATCTGGGAAAGAGCTTGGTGCAATCGAGGCACTGAGAGATGAGTTTGGAGAGTGGAAAGCAGGTGGCAGAGAGAGAGGCACAAGGTGAGGCTGGAGACACCACTTGGGAAATCATTGCAGGGACTGAAAAAGACCAAGGAAGACCAAGAAGTTGCAGCGACCCAAGATTTATCTGTCAGAGATGTTGTAGAGATGGCTTCAACTGGGAAGTTGAACTAAATGACCTACCTACAAGTTTTCTGCCAAAGTTGTAATCCTAAAAATATGAGAACACAATTTAATATTTGATATATATTCTAGATTAAAAAATTAAGAATCTGTAGTCAAAGTTTAGTTGTTAGCAATAAAACAGCTCAAAGTAAATTAAGTTGTAGCTACCATATAAAGCAAATGTTTAATATCTAGAAATGCAGGAACGTTTTTAGGGAGATAAAGCTACATTCAAGGGTACCAAGACCCACCTGCATAATTTGGGGAACGATTTCATAAAAGGCAGATATAGATGTCATAAATTGGTAGGATTTAAATCAAACCATTAGGAAGTCTATTA